AATAAATAAATAAATAAATAAATAAAAAAGAAATTAGATGGAAAAATGGTGAGCAAATTAGTAAACATGTCAGTAAATCTAAACAAGTATTTAATATGCAACATGAATAATGGATAATCTGTGGACCACAGAAACAAGATGCATGAGACAGAAGAACATGGGAGACTGAGAGGGCAATCAGAGTTAAGGTGTTTTAGGAAGTTCGATTTGAGAGGGGGATAAAGAGGCTAAGCAGTGTCCGGCTTTGTAAAGTCAGGTGTGTATTTCAGATATTTAAGAGGGATCATCAAAAGAATACAAACTATAATGGACGCCAGAAAAGGAGAAAAAGGAAGCAAAGTAAAAGGGATGGTAAATATATAGTACAAAACCAGAGGTAGAAAATGTGGTTTACATTCACCTCTTAAAACACAGATGACCAGAGTGGCCAAGAAAAAATAAAATGCAGCTCTATGCTATTTACAAGAGGACATTTAAAATCTAAGGGCACCGAAAGTAAAATGATGGAAAAAGGTGTACTAGAGAAAAACTAACCAAAATATGTACCTATAGAAATTCACTCAGACAAAATAGGCCTTCAGGCAGAAGACACTGGGGACAAAGGATCACCATGAAATGATGCGAGGAGCTCTGTGAAGAGAGGAAAGTTCTGAACTTCTATGTTCCAGGGTTTTTAAGGCTGAAAATAGGCTGGGTGCAGTGGCTCATGCCAGTAATCCCAGCACTTTGGGAGGCCGAGGTGGGCGGATCACTTGAGGCCAGGAATTCAAGACCAGCCTGGCCAACGTGGCAAACTCTGTCTCTACTAAAAATACAAAAATTAGCCGGGCGTGGTGGTGCACGCCTGTCATCCCAACTACTCAGGTGGCTGAGGCACAAGAATTGCTTGAACCTGCTAGGCGGAGGTTGCAGTGAGCCGAGATTGCGCCACTGCCCTCCAGCCTGGGCGACAAAGCAAGACTCTGTCTATATATAGACTCTGTCTATGTTGCTCTCTCTCTATATATATATATGAATACAAGGAGAAATTGCCAAGTCCTCCATCATAGTGGGAGACATAAGACCTATTTGAGTAACTAATAAACGGAACAACCAAAAAAACTAAGGACATAGAGGATGTTAATACAGTTGCTAATCCTGATCAGTGAAGCCCAATAGAATCCTGAACCTGACACGTTAATTTTTTAAGTTTTAAAATTTACATTTCAGACCCGTGTGGGACCAACACATTACTTTCAATCACGGAAGGAACATTTACAAAAATGACCCAACTACTAGGGTGCACGACAAATCTCAACAGATATCAAATCAGTTTCAACCATATTCTTTGGCCACAGGCGAAAACCATGTAAGCTCCAACTGTGTGGAAATTGAAACCTGTTCTAAATATGAACTCATATATAAGTAAAAATTATTTAGATTAAAAAAAATGAGGATACATATATTAAGAAAACTTGGGAGGGGGGCCCATAGCAGGCTGGATGTGGTGGCTCAAACCTGTAATCCCAGCACTTTGGGAGGCCCAGACTGGAAAATTGCTTGAGCCCAAGAGTTTAAGGCAGCAGTGAGCTGTGATTGCACCTCTGCATTCCAGCCTTGGTGACAAAATAAGACCCATTTCTTAAAAAAAAAAAAAATTCAGATTTATAGCCTTATTACATAGATGTATTACTTAGATAATAAATACAGAGAATCAATGAGCAGAGTGTCAAAGAAATTTAAAAAGGAGTAATAGTGTAATCCCAGCACTTTGGGAGGCCCAGGTTGGAGAATCACTTGAGCCCAGAAGTTTGAGACCAGCCTGGGCCACATAGTGAGACCCGGTTTCTACAAAAATGAGAAAATTAGGCCAGGCGCAGTGACTCATGCCTGTAATCCCAACCCTTTGGGAGGCTGAGGTGGGCAGATCATTTGAGGCCAGGAGTTCAAGACCAGCCTGATCAACATGGCAAAACCCTGTCTCTATTAAAAATACAGAAGTTAGCTAGGTGTGGTGGCACATCCTGTAATCTCAGCTACTCAGGTGGCTGAGGCACAAGAATTGCTTGAATCCAGGAGGCAGAGGTTTCAGTGAGCCGAGATTGCACCACTGCACTCCAGCCTGTGTGACAAGAGTGAGACTGTCTCAAAAAAAAGAAAAGAAAAGAAAAAATTAGCTGGCTTTGGTGGCACACAGCTATAGTCCCAACTATTCAGGAAGCTGAAGTGGGAGGATCGTTTGAGTGACAGAGGCCCTGTCTCAGAAAAACAACAAAAAATACTGAAAACAGGCCAGGCATGGTGGCTCACACCTGTAATCCCAGCACTTTGGGAGGTCGAGGTGGGTGGATCACCTGAGGTCAGGAGTTCGAGACCAGCCTGGCTAACCTCGTGAAACCCCATCTGTACTAAAAATACAATATTAGCTGGGCATAGTGGCAGACGCCTGTAATCCCAGCCACTTGGGAGGCTGAGGCAGGAGAATCGCTTGAACCCGAGAGGTGGAGGTTGCAGTGAGCCGAGACTGTGCCATTGCACACCAGCCTGGGCAAAAAGAGTGAAACTCCGTCTTAAAAAAAAAAAAAAACTGAAAAAAGCAAAACAACAACAACAAAAAAAAATAGACCAGGTGTGGTGGCCCACACCTGTAATCACAGCACTTTGGGAGGCCAAGGCAGGCAGATCACTTGAGCCCAGGAGTTGTAGACCAGCCTGGGCACTATGGTGAAACCCCATCTCTACAAAAAAATACACAAAAATTAGCTGGGTGTGGTGGCACGCACCTGTAATCCCAGCTACTTGGGAAGCTGAGGCATGAGAATCGCTTGAACCAGGGAGGTGGAGGTTGTAGTGAGCCAAGATTGTGTCACTATACTCCAGCCTGGCGACAGAGCGAGACCCCATCTCAAAAAACAAAAACAGGCCGGGCACGGTGGCTCATGCCTGTAATCCCAGCACTTTGGGAGGCTGAGGCAGGCGGATCATGAGGTCAAGAGATTAAGATCATCCTGGCCAACATGGTGAAACCCCGTCTCTACTAAAAATACAAAAATTAGCTGGGCATGGTAGTGCATGCCTGTAGTCCCAGCTACTCAGGAGACTGAGGCAGGAGAATTGCTTGAACCCTGGAGGTGGAGGCTGCAGTGAGCTGAGATCGCGCCACTGCACTCCAGCCTCGGTGACAGAGCGAGAGTCTGTCTCAAAAAAAACAAAACAAAACAAAATCCCAACCTACAGTAAACATGTACTCAAAGGTAAAACACCATACTATGTGGTGAAACATGAAATATTTCCTTAAAAGTCAGGAACAAATGGCCAGTGAACACAATTCAGTATTGTACGGGGGTCCAGAGCACCAAAACAACAAAAGGAGTAAACCTGTCACTCACAGCCAGGAAATCAGAGAGAATCTACACACAGTGAAAGACTGGTAATACTGAAGGCTGAGGACACTTACTAGGAACGTAAAGATGGGCTCTTTCCGCCGCTGCTGGGAGTGTAAGTGACCTCAGCTACGCTGGAGAGCAGTTTGGCAAAATCGACCCAAACTGAAGATGCCCATGTCTTTCCTACAGACCAGGAATTCCAGTGTGTGCACCCAGGAGCCCAGGGAAACAAGGGTAAGAATGTTTATTGTAACATTTTCATAATAGCAAAAAGTTGGGAACCACCTAATGTCTTATTCAATAGCTTGCCGTGTGTTCCCATAACAGAACCACACATTGTTTAATGAAAGATGGAGAGTAGTCGGCAAACGTTTCCCTTAAAGGGCCAAACAGTAAATATTTTAGGCTTTACAGGCCACATGGTCTCTGGCAGCCACGTGGTTCTGCTGTAGTGGCCTTTGACAGCCCGAATGGGTTTGGCTGGATCTGGATAAAACTTTATTGGCTAAAACAGACAGACTTGGCTGAGGGCCTTAGTTTGCCGACTCTTGATCCAGAGCTGTGTGTCGAACTGGACAAACCTCACACACACAGTACCACAGAAGATTCAGTGTGACCAGGGCCATTGAGAGCAGCCAAAGAACTGGGCCAGCCATGGCCTTGGGAAGTGATGACACCTGTCTTTTGTCAGACTCAGTCCTGAGCCGAGGCCAGGGTGGAGGAGGGCCCCAAGTCCCAAGCTCTGAGCTCTGCCCCTGCCTGACAGTCAGCAGGGCTGACTCGCCCTCCAGTCCCTCCCCTGCCCCATCGCCCCTGAATCCAGTGGCCTGGCCTCTACTTCCTGTGTCTACTCGAATGTCTAACAGACATCTATCTCAAACTTGACCTCTGCACAACAAACCCATGATCTTCCCCTAAAATGTGCTCCAGTTGTAATCTTTTGTCTCCCTTTTTCAGGCCAAAATCCTTTATGTATTTAATTTATTTATGAGATGGAGTTTCGCTCTTGTCACCTAGGCAGGGAGTGCACTGGAGCAATCTCGGCTTACCACAACCTCCACCTCCCTCCTTCAAGTGATTCTCCTGCCTCAGCCACCCAAGTAGCTGGGATGGCACCTATCATCATGCCCGACTAACTTTTGTATTTTTAGTAGAGATGGGGTTTCACCATGTTGGCCAGGCTGGTCTCAAACTCCTGGCCTCAGGCGATCCATCCGCCTTGGGCTCCCAAAGTGCTGGGATTAGAGGTGTGAGCCACCGTGCCCAACCTCCTCAGAGTCATTCTCGACTCCTTCCTTTCCTTTACCACCCTCTTCCACACCCAATCCATCCTCAAATTCTGTCAGTTCAACCTTCAAGATTCTCCAGAATCTGACCATGGCTCAGCACTGCCACCAGGGCCAGAGTCCCCACCACATCTTGTGGAATGCTGCCATTATCTCCTTGCTGGTTTTCCTGCCCTGGCCTTGCCTCCTTCAGTCCGTTCTCAGGACAGTGACCACAGCTGTCCTGTCCCCACATACTCCTCTTAGAGTAAGAGCCAAGGGCTGATGGTGGCCCAGGAGGCCGTGGGATCTGCCTCACAGCTACTCTGGCCTCCTGGCTACTCCAGGAACCCCTGTCAGGCTCATGCCCCAGGGCCTTTGCCTGGAACATCCTTCCCCAGGATCTCTGTGTCCCTCACACCCTCACATCGAGTTTTGGTTCAAGTGTCCCCTCAGGGAAGCCTTCCCATATGCTATATAATTTCTCTGGGCATTATGAAAGCATTGCAACACTTGAAATAATGGTAGTGGTCCCCTTACACCTGCCATTAACAGTTGGCTCAGCCGGCCCCAGTGGCTCACGCCTATAATCCAAGCACTTTGCGAAGGCCAAGGCAGGCCTGAGGTCAGGAATTTGAGACCAGCCTGGTGAAACCCTGTCTCTACTAAAAATACAAAAATTGGCTGGGTGTGGCAGTGCTCGCCTGTAATCCCAGCCACTCGGGAGGCTGAGGCAGGAGAATCACTTGAACCTGGAAGGTGGAGGCTGCAGTAGCCGAGATCGTGCACTGCACTCACCTGGGTGACAGAGCACGGCTCCGTCTCAAACACAGATGGCTCCATCTGCCTTATTATGTCTCTGTCCATCTTCCCTTTTTGAATTTCAAAGTTGCAGACATCTGTTCACTTTCCCCTCAGCCTTTCACGTTCATGTATTTTCTTTTGGGGTAAAATTCATATACAATGAAATGCGGAGGTGTCAAGTGTACTCTTTGGTGAGTCTGAGAAATACTCACTAATGTGACCCAAACCCCTTTCAAGATAGAGAACATGGCCGGGCACGGTGGCTCACGCCTGTAATCCCAGCACTTTGGGAGGCCAAGAAGGGCAGATCACCTGAGGTCAAGAGTTCAAGACCAGCCTGGCCAACATGGTGAAACCCCATCTCTACTAAAACTACAAACAATTAGCTGGGCATGGTGGTGGTGCCTGTAATCCCAGCTACTCAGGAAGCTGAGGTAGGAGAATTGCTTGAACCCAGGAGGCAGAGGTTGCAGTGAGCCGAGATTGTCCCACTGCTCTCCCACCTGGGTGGCAGAGCAAGACTACGATTCAAAAAAAAAAGACAACTTGGAAGGTTCCTTGGGCCTCCCCAGTCCACCTGCACCCCATGGAGGCAGGCACCGTTCTCATTTCTCACCCTACTCTGGCCTGGTCTAGAAATTCTTACAGATGGAATCATACAGCATGTGTTCTTGTGCCTCTGGTTTAATTCAGTATAAAGTTTGAGGCTTACCCATGTTGTTGCAGGTATCAGTAGGCTTTTTTTTGAGACAGAGTCTGTATAATTTCATATCCTGCATAATACGGGAGCATGCCACCACACCTGGCTAATTTTTTTCTGTATTTTTAGTCGAGACAGGGTTTCACTATATTGGCCAGGCTGGTCTCAAACTCCTGACCGCCTGATCTACCCACTTCGACCTCCTAAAGTGCTGAGATTACAAGCATGAGCCACCGCGCCCGGGTAGGCCATTTCTTTAAACTATCAAGTAGGTTCCCATGGAGGGATGTACCAGTTTATTGTTTTATTGATGGATGCCCGGGCTGTTTCCAGCTTTTGGTGATGTGAATAAACTGCTCTGAACATTGCTGTGACAGTGTTTGTGTAGATATGTTCTTTTGTTTCACTTGGACGAATAGGAGAATTGCTGGCTTTGGGGGCAGATGTGTGTTTGAAGAATGGCCAGGCCTCTCCCCAGTGCTGTTCCATTTTGCGCTCCCATCAGTGATGTGTGGGAGTTCCGGGTACGCTGCCTCCTTGCCAGCGTTTGGTGGTGTTCATTTCTGTTTCACCATTTTGGCGAATGTGTAGTGGTATCTCCCTGTGGTTTTACAGTTATTATAATAAAATTTTATTTCCTTCTCACTAAAATGCAAGTCCTTGAAGGACAGTTTTTCATATGCGTGGTTCCTGCTACACCCCAGGACTTAGGGTGTGGCACATGGTGGGCGCTCAGTAAATATTCTTTGGATAAGTGACCCTGCCCCTGGGTCCCTACAGTCATCTCTCCGTGCCATTTGCCATCTAAAAGGTTTATCTCCCCCTCTAGACCACGTGCAGGGACAGAGTCTGTGCCAGGCGGTGCCAGGGGGATCGGCAGAGGTTGGGGGAGTCGCTTCTGCTCAGGGGGTCTCAGCCACGGTCAAGCACACCCCCTGCCACTCTGCTCCCATCCCTCATTCCTGCTGTTCTGTGGCTTCTGACTTGGACCTATTGGCCTGAGAAAAAGCAGACAGCTGGCCTTGGCTGGCCTGACGAGGGCGGAGCAACCCTGGCCTGTTTGGCCACTAATGACTGTGCGAGTATGGGCAGATCATAGGCCCTGAGCTCCTTTACACGACGGCAGGTGGGCCAGACAGACCTGGGTCCTCAGCTGCTTTTCCACATGGAGAACTGAAGAATTTCATCTTCATCTGCAAAACAGACAGTGCCAGAACCACCTCCAAGGTGGAGGATCAGTCAGCAGCTCGGAAGCCATGGAGTCCTGGGGGAAACAGGGCCTGCTGTCAGCACTGAGGCAGGAGGGACTGACTCTGGACCAGACTGAAGACTGGCTGAACCAGAAGTGCGGAAATCACCTCTCCAGAAGACACGCCCACCAGTGCCATGACAGTTTACCATTGCCATGGCAATACCTGGAAGTTACCCCCTCTGGCCATGGCAACAGTCAGAAGTTACCGCCCATTTTCTAGCTATTTCTGAATAACCTGCCCCCTGACTTAGCAGTCATTAAAAATGGGTGTAAGTACGGATACAGATCTGCCCCTGGGCTGCTACTCTCAGGACACTGCCCATGGCAGGGGCAGCCACAGCTCTAACCCTGCCACCCCCTCAGTAAAGCTGTTTTCTACCACCGGCTGGTTCTTCAATGCCTTCCTGAGCGAAGGGAAGAAACTGCCCTGCATCAGCGCTGCTGGGCCTTGGCGCCTCGTTTCAGGCAAAGGACTCGTAAAATGGGCCTCACATTGGGAGGACCCAGGTGGGCTGAAGTCTGAGTCAGGGTCATTATCTCTGAGGAAGGATTGGCTGCTCCCATTTACAGACTCAAAGTGAAGGCTGGGCGCGGTGGCTCGCACCTGTAATCCCGGCACTTTGGGAGGCCAAGGTGGTCTGATCACCTGAGGTCAAGAGTTCGAGACCAGCCTGGCCAACACGGTGAAACCCCTTCTCTACTAAAAATACAAAAATTAGCCAGGTATGATGGTACACACCCATAATCCCAGCTAATCAGGAGGCTGAGATGGGAGAATCACTTGAACCCGGGAGGCAGAGGTTGCAGTGAGCCGAGTTTGCACCGATGTACTTCAGCCTGGGTGATAGAGTGAGACTCTGTATCAAAACAAAAACAAAAAACCACAACCAAAAAAGTGAAATGGGGCCAGGCATGGTGACTCACACCTGTAATCCCAGCACTTTGGGAGGCCGAGGTGGGTGGATCACCTGAGGTCAGGAGTTGAAGACCAGCCTGGCCAACATGGTGAAACCCTGTCTCTACTAAAAACACAAAAATTGGCCGGGCGCGGTGGCTCAAGCCTGTAATCCCAGCACTTTGGGAGGCCGAGACGGGCGGATCATGAGGTCAGGAGATCGAGACCATTCTGGCTAACACGGTGAAAGCCCGTCTCTACTAAAAAAAAATACAAAAAAACTAGCCGGGCG